TGTGTGTGTGTGTGTGTGTGTGTGTGTGTGTGTGTGTGTGTGTGTAATGTATGGAAAAAAGATACGTACGTACATAATAGATTACGAGAATAGCACGTTGTGAAAAGATTAGTACGGGATGAAACGTGATTTAGTTAGTTACATAAGAGCAAGTCCGGTATTGGTGAACTATGTTCGAGAAGGAAACTCTTCAATGGTTACCAATATAGCTTGTCTTCAATTAGTTAGAAACGATGCGAATGCCTAACACAGTTCTTGAACAACGTGCACCAAACCGGGACTAGAAATTTGTAGCAAGCTACTGGATGACCTCCGACGGCTACAAAGTAAGTATTTCGAAGAATATCGCACGATCGATTTATTGCTCGCGTGAGTTTGGAGGAGTAAAGAGAAGCACATTCACAATTACGAAAATACACCAGTAACTTCCCGCTCTGTGAAGTGAATTTTAGTTAGACGTTGAGGCGAATGCATCTAAGAGAGAGAAATGTTTTTTTGTTGCGCGATACAACTATGCGTGTAGGAAAATAATCGAAGTAAATGGCATGTCCGAGGAAACTCGATGTGAACATCGAGTAAGGAGATGCGAAATAATATCTACAAAAGTTACTTCGAAAGAAATAACATGGATTAAGAGATGAGCTTGAATAATGTTTGAATAATATTTGTCAAACATACGTAACACATCGAGTCGTTATAAATTCGTCCGTCAAGTAAAACGGTTAGTTGAATAACGAAGAGATAAGTGAAAACGTGTCGTTAATATGAAAGAATTTTAAAGTCAAGTGATATATTAATGTTTTGTAGTGGATGAGTAAATGAGAAAAAGTATGTTAATATACCTTTTTAATGTCACACTTGTGATAATAATCTGAAAAGTATAGCAACAATTGAAACGTGAAGAGGCGAAGATACAGAAATGTTCATAATACTTCGAAAGATATTGCAATCATGAGCATTATAAAAGCGAAATCATATATAAATAATAAGTTAGTGTCAATCGATACAGAAATAATTTCATAATATTAATATGAGTTGAAGAATACGAGTGCAAATGTAGAGTGGAAAATACAATAACGATAAGAATGTCGAGTATAAAATGTAATACGAAGTAAGAATCTTCGAAAATCTGAAGAGAAGATATATTGATTCGTTTCGAGAATTATTTATTGATCACAATCTATCTGAAAGTCAGTGTTTGCAACAATCCGTCAGTAAAATAACTTGAAGATTTGTCTAAAACATGTATATTGAAAGTAATATAGCCTGGTTATTACAGTCTTTCAGTTGAAAGCTTTCTTCGAGAACCTGTCCTGAAATGGATATTGCGTCTTTCAGATACATTGCGCCCCCCCGTAGAAAATTGTATGACATATTATGTTTTTAATGATGTAGAGGAATTAAATTAAATTAAACGAGCACAAATGCCAAAGGTAGTAACAAGTTGAACATTTTATTATTTCGCGAGAAACTCAAAGGAAAGGTAGTTTGCAATAAAATATCACACAAAGAGCGATTCACGCAGAAGCGATAATACGAAGAATGAGCGAGGAGTAGATTGAGTCAAAATAGGCAATAACAATTTATGCTCATGTGATAGTGCGCGCGTGACAATAAATTTCGAGTGAGAGGAAAACTCAATGTAGTACGCAATAAAGAGAAGAGGAGCAACGAAACGAATCAAGTTGTACGGTGATAGAGGAAAAGAGAAAGATATAAAGAGAAATGTATGTGTGTGTGTATATATATACACACATACATTTCTTTCTCTCTCTCTCTCTCTCTCTCTCTATATATATATATATATGTATATATATATATATATATACATAGAGAGAGAGAGAGTCTAAAGAGAGAGTCTCTCTATATATATGTATAGAGAGAGAGAGAGAGAGAGATATCGCGCTGGGGGTTAATCTCGGCTCATCCCGGCTCTCGAAACAGTTAAAAGAAGCAACGTGGATCGACATACTGCTGATAGGCAAGTATACGCAAATTAGTACAGTGAGAAAGTTCGCAAGTCCGCTGATCGACAGAGAAAATGAATGAGAAATCTACTGCCTTGCCTCGATCCCCTTTATCTATGTACTCCCTAAGGCCGCCGAACGAAGGTATTAGGGTACTGACTGGATGTTACTAGTGTGACTCCTAGCTGTTTTGCCTGTATTGCAGATCTCATCTACAGTCATGACAATCATCCTAAGTAGTAGACAGTAGTAGTAGGTGGTAGTGGTAGATTAGTAGGTCCTAGCAGGTAACATTGCAGAGCTGTAGTCTCGCATAGTAGTAGGTAGTAGTAGCAGTAGTGGTAGTAGTAGTAGTAGTAGTAGCGGTAGTACTAGTAGTAGTAACGGGCATGTCCCACCGGCAATTGGCGTTCGCTCGCTCGATCGACCGAGGAGGATCGACGACGACTGACGGAGATTCGAATCGATCTGACAGTTCGTTCGATCGATCGACGGACCGCTCGGTACAACGTGTTTATACACACACAAACACATATACGTATACCGTCGGCGGGAGCTTATTTTCGTGGTTCTCGGGAGCAACCGTGGTCTCGGGTACGTAGTAGTAGTGGTAGTGGTGATGGTGGTAGTAGTGGTAGTGGTGGTAGTAGTAGCGGTAGTAGCGGTAGTAGTAGCAGTAATAGGTAGTGGTAGTAGTAGTAGTAGTAGCAGTAGTAGTAGTAATAGTAGTAGTAGTGGTAGTACTTGGTTTTTTTTCTGTGTGGCTAGCGGAGGTTAGGCTTACTGTTCCGCCTCTCTATGATAAACACGCTCTCGTAATCTCGATTATCGAGGTGGAGTGCGTGATGGTCACGATCACGGTTCGGGGGGGCCTGCTCGTGGACCGGCTCCGAGGTGGCAGTGGCGGGGGTGGTTACTTGCGTAGGAAGTGGTGATTGATGAAGAGGTTGTGGTGGTGGTGGTGGTAGTTGCGGATTCAACGGGCTGCAACGGGTCAGCGTCGAGACTGACTCGCCGCACGCGTTTAGATTTGTCGACCTACAGAAAACACAGAGAGAGAGGAGGACAAGAGACGCCCACGATTTTTTTTTTTCTTTTGCTTAACGTCTTGTCTTTCAGTATCTTGTTTCTTATTTTTTTTTCCTTTTCTTTCTTTTTCCATTACTTTCGGTTCTCTTTGTTGCAACACGACTACTTTTCGACCGGTTTGGCTTTCTTGCCTCGCGTCCTCGCGATCACTGTGCGCGAAAATCATCTTAGGGTCGGAGACACAAAGCGAGAGAAATAAAAAAGAAAGAGTTACAGAGAGTAAGAGAGAGAAAGAGAGACAGAGAGTAAGAGAGAGAGAAAGAGAGACAGAGAAAGAGAGAAAAGGGTTGTGGGGAAATCCCGTCTTTGACGGTGCGACGATCGATTGACTCGACAATATATCCCTTGTTCCTTTTCTTTCCATTCTTTATTACCCTTTGACAGGCAAAGGTTTCGCGAAGTACCTCCCTGCGCCCTTCCTCTCCGGAGTCTCTCGACCCTTGGCGCTACTCTCAAACTCGCGTCGGCTCTCTTCTGATCCTTGCTCTGATCGCGACCTCGGTGCTTGTAACACCGAGATTATTTCAGGTCTGTATTCGTGGTCGACGTCTCCGAGGTATCTAAGTAACTACGCCGATAAGCACACGACTGCAATCATCGCGCGGCAAAGGAGCACGCGAAACCAACACACACACACATGCGTAAAAGGTTGCGTCAAGTTGCTTCTCAACTCGCTTTAACTTCGTTAGATATTTTTCGCGGTGCACCAACGTCCCATTGTCTTGGGGAAATTAGTGTAGTATCTCGCGCCCGACGCTGACCGGGGCATTGGGAAATTGCAATCGTTGCTTTTACTCGGCACACAGCCCAGACACGTGACCACGAATGCGGGCCTTGGCAAAAAACTCTTGGCAGTGGCTGAACCGTTCAGCCCGTTCTGGATATATACGTGTATAGGTATAAACGTGCAATATATCGATCTCTCTCGGGGTAATTCGCGAGAAACGCGCTCGCGCGTTTAATGAAAAAACTGTCGGCGGATGTTTGAGCTTATCATGAGGGTGGAGTGATGATGGCGGAAGATGACGGCGGCGTGAAGCAGAGATCAAACTCGGAGGATAAAACAGTTGGTTGACAATGAGAGCTGTCTTACACGCGAGGCAATGTTAAGTGAGAGAAAAAGGGAGAGCGAGAGAAAGAAAGAGAGAGATAGAGAGGAAGAAACTATACGCCCCGATAATATAAATATATTCATAGCCACCCTCTGAATATATTTATAGTGAGACGATATGGACTAGTTCGCTGCTAATTCCACCAAAACAGAAAGGAAAACAGGTCAACGATCAGTACTCGTACACATCAGTTACAGAGGCGCATGCTTGATCACACAATTCGGACGATGTGGAGCGTGGTGTAGCTGACAATACAGCTGCGAAATTAGAGTTTCGACTTATATAATTACACATATATGCGGTTCATACGCGGTTTTTGAAACGGCCTCGCGATCGGCTTCGAACCTACGGGAAAAGCTGTATTAGATCGAGAGAGAGAGAGAGAGAGAGAGAAACTCGATCGTCGGGCGATTGATGCGATCGATGCGATCGGTGCGATGATGAATTATCGAGATGCGTGACAGATGTGTGTGTGAGAGATCATCATGACGCGTTGCCTATGCGTGTAAGGAGAAGAAGGGATTGGGGGAGGCAACTGCCGGAGAGGGGGGGGGGGTGAAGAAGAATGGGATCGGTCGGCGGAATTCGGGGGTTCGGATCTCTGATTAGCACCCTCACGATAAGCGCCCTCACGATAATTTACACAAGGAAATAGAATTTGATGCGGCAAACAACGACGATGCCGGCGACAGCGCGATCGCACTCGAGAGAAACAAATAAGGGAAACTGAACGGTGCGGCTGATCGAAACGATGGCATGAAAATGGCTGGGTCGAATGATAATACGTAGTTCTAGCAGTCGTCGTCGCGGGAAATTCGGGGGGTGGGGGTGGGGGTGGGGGGTCGGAACGCTCGGAACGCAAAGGCGAAATTAGAAGAGAAAGGAGAAAAAAAAAACAAAGAAAAACACATCACGTGAAAAATGGAATACGCGAAACGCGCCGTGTTAATACGGTATAGACGGTGTATGTGGCGATGAGAGTCGCGGGAAATCAAAGAGCGAGATACGATCCAGAATAGGCATCACTGCAGTCGTATTGTGGACTTTTGGATGCCACGATGGAAATCATAATGGTCACAACTGAGTACCCGCTACTACGCGTGCAGTCCGCTTAGGCGGTGATCGCGAACAAGTCTGTGATACGCGCGTCCCGCGCGCTACGGCGTGCGGGTGCGTGTTTTGTTCTTTCTTTGATTTTTCTTCGTCTCGTAAACACACGTACGTACGGCGTTACGAGTCGAGAAGGTATAACGCGCGACGGTATTACGGAGCACGAGTTCGCGTGGCTCGTTGTCGTCGTTTCTTCTTCTCTTTTTTCTTTTTCTTTTTTTTCACCTTGCGGCGGTTCCCTCCGGTTCTGTGTGTGCAATACGCCGTTCTGCTGCCGCGAGACGCGGTCCGAATCGGAGAAGACCGTATCCGTCCGTTTCTCGCATGTCGCGAATCAAGTCGCGCGGTCTCGCTCGGTTCTGAATCTCTTCCTCGTTGGCGCTTTTCCTCCGATGGATCTCGCGCGCGAGGAATCAAGCGGAAATTTCATTCCGCGTCGAGCACTCGCGCGAATCTCTCTCTCGCCGTCTCCGGATTCTCGCTTCGGAAAAACGAACACTCGGCACGAGGCGGAGAATTCGCAAAACGCGCGCCGTTTGATTCGGACTGCGAGAGCGGGATACCTCCGATCTCGATTCGGCGGCCGGATCGCACCGGATTGCGATACTTTTTCGTTCATGCCTAACGGATACGTGCATGCACGCACGCGCGCAGCGTGTCGCGTTGCGCGTGGGAGTGTGCGTAAAATTACTTATCGATTATCGAAAGATCGTTCTCCAAACCTCGTCCAAAATACCTCTGCTGCTGCGGTTTAGTCTGCCGGTTTAATTGCTACGAGATACAGATCTAGAAGCTCGTAGTGTTATGTATGGCGGCAAGTAGATCAAAAGAGTAGTCTATCGTTCCTCGTTACCCTTAATCCCCCCGTTTCAGGGGAGGGGGGAGGGAAAGGATAGTGCTTGTCCTTTGTCAAAGTGAATCGAGCTGACGGCGGGAGAGAATGAGTTTCTCTCCGTGCGTCTCTTCGGTCTTGCACGTTGCATGTATATATATA